GAGCTGTTTTTTTCTTCTTCCTTGAGTATGATCTCTCACCATATCATATTTGAGCTGTACAAGTCTGATGTATCAATTATGATACAAAACATAAAACAAGTTGTAGCGTCTGCGTAGGATCATGCATGTGCGTTGGACTGTTTATGGCTTAAAAGACCCCTTTTAGCCTTTTGACATTTGCATATAAATTACAGTTCTGGTCAGAAACTTTACGTTCGTATAGGGGTGTAAATTGCCAAATGGTTCTTCGCCTTCAAGTAAGATTAGAACCAGCCCCCACGAGCATCCTGCAATCTGATTTCAAACACATTCCACAAAGAGCTGTAAATGGCCAAACGAACACACACACACACACACCCAAACTAACACACACACACACATAAAGACATTTCTTTATTTTAGACTATAATTAATCAGTTATTAAAAAACATACTTACAGTCTGTGAGTCAGAACAGCCGGCATTGTAGTCTACTCTTCCAGGATCAGGAAACAGTCCTCCATAAAATGTGCTGCACACATCTGAATATCTGGGTTGAAGTGTTCTGGAACAGTGTTGTAAATACAACTTAACCACTGATTTCTAGTCGTGTCCTCTTTTGGAAGGCCAAACAAAGTAGTTTCGGTTTCACAACGAAACAGCGTCACACACGATGGCATTGAGTGAGCGGCGGCGGCCTAGAGTGAGCAGAGGCCGAGGGCTTGAGTGAGGAACAGTGTTAGAACGAGCCGTTTTAGGTAGGCGTGGTTAACTCTTAACTTTTATAAAGTATATCTCTTTGGATTTGAGACTTTAGACTTTGCAACTTTACAGATCTTCTTTATGCACCAAGAGCTTGTAACACTCCAAAGAGAAAGGAAAAATTTAAATCGCATCATATGACCCCTTTAAAAGTAGTAAGACAAACTTATCTTTCCAGTGCTGATGCCGCGCACTCTCCTATTGTGGTCTTTGATCTTGAAATGAGCTGATAATTAATCAAATGCAGCGCTTATCTTTTGATTTCGTTGACGTGAACTCCGTTAAATTTAAATATAGTGCGGGAATTGAAGATCGGATTTATATCCGTTTTCAAGCGAAAACACATGAAATGACCAGGTGTAAACAGGCCCAAAAACTCCATTGGATCAGTACTATAATCAATTACAATCTAATGTTCAGTCACATGAATATGCTACGAGACGAGCAACAGAGGGTAGAAGACTTCTACTCCCTAATGCTAAAACTAATTTTCTTAAACATACAGTAACATTTAGGGTAATGAAATCATGGAATCTTTTACCATTTCCATTAATTAGGATAACACGGAAAATTGATTTTAAAAGGCAGAGATGTAGGAATTAATTTAATGAGCAATAATTTTTTTTTATATTAGTAGGTGTTATAGATATTAAAAATGGTGGAAGAAATGTTTATAGAGATGCTTTGGAATGTGGAGAATGTTTTTAACTTTTAAAAAAAATTTTTTTATGTATTTAATAATGTATGAATGTTAAGTGTTGTGTGGACCCCAGGAAGACTAGCAATGCTTTAGGGCATAGTTAATGGGGATCCAAAAAAATAAATAAAATTTGAACACTTGACTGATCAAATGTGTGCTTATCAAACCCAGCCATATGATTCTGTTAATAAGATACCACTTCTTTATTTGTTTTTCTTCAAAAATAGACCAAAGTAATAGCCTTTTTTATTTTTATTGAGCATAATATTCAAACATAATGATGTAGGTAACAATAAAGATCATCAGATAAAAATTTATATGAAAAAAAATTAAAGCTTCTATAACAAGCCATTTTATTAACATAAGGGCACAGGTCTCCTTATAACACTGAATTCTCGGTGATTTGTGCATTATGTTTTTAGCCCTGTGGGAGTGTGATTCTTCCAGTGTCAAGTGCTGGATGGTCAGGAGACTTTTGTTTTGTCTAAATGTTCATTTTGTTACATTTTTAAAATGGGATATTTTTCATAGTTGCAGGTTTTACAATGGATCTGCATCAAGCTCTTAACACTTTCAGAATGCCTCCCACAATATTAAGAGATGGCAAAGTCATTCATATTTACAGATCATTAAAAAGGAAATCAAAAAGACCAAGATTAATAATCACACATGAGAATCAGAGCTCCAAAATAACATTTTACACATACACACATACAGTATTTAAAGCTTCTGGGACATATTTGGTGAAAAATGACAATTGAAAAACACAATAAGTAGCAAAACAAACAACCAGAAAAAAAAATAAAAATCCTACTGATTTTACACTGAAATAAACATCCGAAGCAATGGGAGGGTGCCTGTTCAAATGAGGCAAATGTTAAGTTTCTGTAATATATTTATGAAATGGTTATGACAGCAAACCGAACACCAACAGAGGATAACTGACATTTAACATGCAATCTTTTTTCTTGTTTGAAAAATAGTAAACATAAGATGTAGAGCTGATCACAGACAAACACAGTCTTATTTTAGTATTATATTTATTAATGACTGTATTTACAAATATTTGGAGTTAGCTTTTGTTTCTATATTTTCAGTTTTCAATTTAATTTTGTGCTTTTTTCATTTTTTATATATTGTTTTAATGTCAGTTTTAGTAATTTAATACTCCAATTAAAACTTCTTTCATTTCAGTTAGTTGCAAAGGCAAAATGTCTATTTTTTATTTATTTATTTTTAGTAGTTGTAGTTTTAAAAAACAACACTGGATGAACCAGGATGGACTGAGCAGCAATCAGCCATTCTGATCGGTTCCACTTTAGTTTAAAGGTTGTCAAATGCTCTACTTAGATGAAAGAAAGAAGAATGAAAAAGAAACAGATGGGAATAATTGTCTGTGCTTATCAAACATAGCAGAGATTTAGATAAAAGGCACTGTGTGGTATCCACATCGGATCTGTTTATTCAGAATAAGCTATGTTATTTTCAGGAAAACCAGAGAAAACCAAATCAAAAGAAATAAAGCACTTTTAAATGAAAACTTCACCACTGGGCCAGTTTCTCAGGAGTTGAATCTAGGTCATGAGCAGGACCACACAGATTCTGCTGCCGTTTTCTGCATTCGGTGCTGATTACAGGGGAGTTGATTTAATTTAAATATGGGAAAATTAGGTCAATTGACCTGGAAATACTACGTTTTTTGTAGTTAAACAGTTTTCAAATGATATCAAAATATTAAATAAACAAGAAAGGGCTACAGCATGTTGAGTTTTTTGAATGAGATGCAATCCAATCTTTTGAAAATCCTACAGATTCAGTGTGGGGCTGAAAATTACATAATGGACTTACAACTACTGAAAGCACTCATATTTGGTCATAAACACATGACAGATTACTAGAACACAGGCCTGAGAGAAAACAAATGCTAAAATCTATCTACTGCCATCCAAAAACACAATTATCACGCAGTACGGAACGAGCACAATTGGTCCAGAAAGCAATGCTCACCAAGGACAATCTCCTTCTCATAATCTGTCCTAAATACAACTTCCGACCTTTGTCTCTTCCATATAACCTCTGACCTTAAAATTAATTACACAGATCTGTATTGTTCTAGGTGAAGGGTCAGAGGTCAGCATTCCTCTGCACTGAGAAGAATAGCTGGTTTTTTCATCATTCAGAGAATCCCCCCCCAAAAAAACAATCCTGTTTACAGAAGTGAGGAGTTGGAAACCAGCTTCTCTTTCAGCAAAAATAGGAACTTACATGTGCACAAAGACACACAAGGCCACAGGAAGAGTATAAACGCACGCACACAGCAGTGTCATGCAAGCCTGACCTATTAAAAGGTCATCGCAGCAACACGCACAACAGAGCAGTGCAAGAGCAGTGCAATCTGGAAACAGTGCATTTAAATCAGTACCACAAATTCATCTTAACTACATCAAACACAACCTTGACTATCAGAAGGCAGAATTATTCATAGGCTTAGTGGCAAACCTTGTGTTTCAACCTGACTGAAAGCACACCGCTAAATGCTAGTAGAGAAAACATTTATTAGTCTAGTGCCGCTTTTCTTTGCGATCAATAATGCCGCACATATTTACACACACATATAGTACCATATTCTAAGCAGCAACTTACAGGGAATAAAAGCAGACTGAGATTGAAGATCTAATAAAATTCTGATTACGAGCCAGACTCCCTGACATGTATTTAATAGAAGAACAAAAAAATGTAACTGATCCAGTATTCAACAATATTATCACGAGTGCATCAGCAAGACATTTTAATGCCTAGAGAAACTATTTGAGTGGTCAGTTCAACGAACAGTGGGGGGGGGGGGGGAAAAAAAAGTCTGTCAACAATATTTTTCCAAA